TATACACTCTTCAGTTGCAGTTTAACAACCCTATATCAATCCCTGCCCGTCTTGTCCTCAGGTGAACAGCGTCAATCCGGAAAACCTCTCCGCAGAATTCCAGAGAGTCCTGCAGGACCAGGCCATCGCCACTCATGTCTCGGTGAAGCTGATCCTGCCCACCGCACTGTGAGTGAGGGCCTTTTAGGGTGTTGGAGGGGTAAAAAGACAGTGAGGAAGTCCTTCAGGGGCTGTGAGAGAGTTCAAACAGAAGCAACGGGAATCATGTCAGATCCGAAGGGAACATCAGGCAGAGGGAAGGTAAAGGGAACAGATGAGCTTGCGAGGGGATGTGGAGCACGGATTCTGACAAAGAACAGAAGGCAGGTTTTGCACAGAGAGAGGCAGGGGTCTGCCACAAGACCTCAGGCCTGGGGGCCCTTGAGAGAGGCGCAGGACGAGCCTCGGGGGTCAGGTGGGGGCCTGGTCCCCCTGGCTGGGGCTCCTGCGCTGTGAGGAGCCCCAGGGTGAGGCGTGTCTGTGGTCGCAGGTGTCTGAAGGGAGAAGCCGAGGAGAGTCACACTGTCCAGAGGGAGGTGGGCAGCATCTCCAGGGACACCGAGGTCACCTTCCAGTTCAGAGTCAGGGAGCCGGACAGGCAGGGTGAGTGTTTCTGTGCCTGTCTGTCTCCTCTCCCTCCTCTCTCTGTCTCCTCTCTCCGTCTCCTCTCCTCTCTCCAGCTGTCCTGTCTCAGGTGCATGTGTCTTTCAGTCTTCGAGCCTGGGGTCCACTGTGCTCTACTGAGCCTGCGTCCTCTCTCTCTCCAGCTGTCCTGTCTCAGGGGCGTGTGTCTGTCCAGCTGCAGGTCAGGTTCAGACAGCTGGATGGACAGAGGAGACTCCGAGTAGAATCTGTTGAGAGAGAGGTGACTGAGGACAGGTGAGTCTGACTCGATGAGCAGGCCTTTGACAGACTGTGTGTGAGGTGACTGTACTCTGTCTGCCTGTGCTGTTGTGTGTCTGTAATGAACCAACTTAAATACAGAGCTTTTTGTACTATGTGTCTGTACTGTACTGTGTCTTCTGTTTAAGGAGAGTGTTTAGTTACCAGACACACTGACTGGACACCACATGATACTGACTGGGGGAGAGAGGGGTTCATACAGACACACTGACTGGACACTCCAGTACATTAACACTGCACTGAGAGAGAGAGAGGGGTTCATACAGACACACTGACTGGACACTCCAGTACATTAACACTGCACT